TGACTCTTTAATCCTTGACCTAGATCAGTGCCCGAGCAGATTTTTAAAATATTTCCATCAATAAATATTGTTTCATATATTATGTTGTGAAAAGCGGAGATGTTATCGGATTAATTTAATACTAAATTGTTGGAGAAAATAAGAGATTATAGCTTGAATAGAATTTCATAATAACATTCCAAATACAATTCTTCTTAATGTACATTTTTATTAGAACTTCCAATTATTTTCAATAAAGAATTCGGATCACACTCAAATTATAATAATATATACCTTGACACGAATTCCACTACAATGCACAAAAGTTCAAAGAAAAATTCTCCACCTGGAGACAAATTCTAGTACAAAGAAATATAGACGAACTTCTCTATAAAAAAATTCAACAGGAAATATTCTTCATTTCTGTTACCCCAATTAGAGACAAAATTAATCTAATGACCACAAAACAAGGCTGAAACAAGCCATGTAATAGAATCATAACTGAATGCATTAAAAGAAGGATCTTAGTTAGAATTAACACCTTTAACCATATTCAAACTATCAATTAAATCAATATAATTGTACCTATGTGAAATCTTATGGAAAAACATAGATCTGTGACTAGCAATTGAATACAATAATACCGTCGATGATGATGTCAAGATGGATTTACCCTTAACTTCTAAATTCAACTGAAAAGTATTCCTTAAAGAATGCCTCAAATTAGACTCCAACGGTAAATAATCCAATTCCAAATCCACTAGAGTTCTTAAATACATGATGATTACTCAAATATTCTCTATAACACTGCTAGTTATATAAATGGGATTTTCTATTTCCTTTTAACAAAACACGAGCTCATTTACTCATTTTCAAGATTCCACGTTCAACATTATACTTGTACCATTTTGAATCAAGAGTACTTAAAAAGATGATATTTTTTTTTTTACATTTTGAACGTGTCTTACTGTATCAAGTGTTCTAATCGTTCCATCAAACATCTTTATTCTGACCCGATGAATATTAGCTATTCGACAAGGTATATTATTCTCGGTCATCACAACACCATTTGAAATTTTTTCATGTGTTGAAAAAAAATTTCATTTAGGATCATATGAAAAATGCAAGCTGTATACAAAAATCCAAGTCTCATCAGGTTTGAAGTTGTAGTGAGACATAAGTAAAAACTCTTCATCATTGTTAGGATTTTTTGCAATACTTGCTTTCCCTAAAGTTTTTTATTGTTGATTTGCAATCAATTTTGATTTATCGTGCAACTTATAACAATTGTTTATAAAGTGCCACTTTTTCTTTCTATAATTAAAAAATTTGAAATTAGATTTTGACTTACCTTTTGTTGAACCAACATCAACAATTAGACTATCTCCATGATCCTAAGATGCAACAAGATACTTCATCGTTTCTTTTGAATATAGAGTATCATAAACTTTTTCGGTGATGATAGTATCATGACTAAAATCGTGTATCTAAAAGACTTGTAAAAAGCGCGCAATGAACACAATAAAATTAGTCTCAAATCTTATTCATCATATTTGACCTCCAAGATCTCTAAATCAACAATGATTTCCTCAAAAACAACTAGGTGATCTTCAAGAGTGTATCTTCTGTTATACGATGAGAATATAGACGTTGCTTCAGATGTAATTTCCTAGTAAGATTTTTCGTCATACATAATTGCTCTAATTCTAACTAAAATGTAGCAACTGACTTTTCTTTCAAAATATCATGAAAAATATTATTTGAAAGATGAACATGTATTTTAGATAGAGTCTTTCGATCCCTCCATTGTTTTTCCTCCAAAATCCAAATTGTAGGCATTTTATCAAATCCTAACAACACGTCGTCCAAATCTATCTGAGGGAGTACTGCTCATATCTTTACTTGATACAATGAAAATCTTGTATTGCGATCTATTAGTGGAATATCATACGTCATTGTTCGTTACAAAAATTAAGTTGAGCTATTAACTTGATCAAAACCTCGATCTTCTCAAGAATTTTGAGACCAAAAGCTTTGATACTAGTTTGTTACGAAAGCGAAGATGATACCGGGTTAATCCAATACCAATTATTAGAAAAAATAAGATATTATAACGATAATATGAAATAATTGATTACAAGAATAAAAAAAAAATTAATTTGCAGAGAATGAATATTTTATTATAATATGGAGAAAGAATATAAAGATTTGTGTTTGCAATGTTTCTAATTTCTTACTAAATCATAATAAAGAGTCAACTATATATATAGGAAACAAATAGAGGACGTCCAAACCCCAATAGTTGAGTTGTAGTTATTGTTCAAGTAAAATGCAAGAAATGGATTCCAAAACGAAGTGGGAGGCAAAAAACAGCGCACATGACAAACGCCAGGTCACTGTGTCACCCGAGCGACGGTGCAGTTCCCCGGGCCAAAAATATCTTGGCATCGTAGCGCCCACTCTCAAGTCATTTACTTCAAAAACTTGATTTTCTTCATCCCAATGCCCTCTTCAAATGCAATACAAATTCGTACTCCCACTTGAGTTTTCAAGTAGAGTTTCAATTAGAATTCGTCAAGTAAGTTTGAATAGGATTTCACAATAACATTTCAAATATAATTCTTTTTAATGTGCACTTTAATTAGAATTCTCAATTATCTTTAAGAAAGATTTCGAGTCACCCCCTACTTCTAACATATCACTTATAAAACACATGAAAGGAAAATAAATCATACACCCACTCTGTCATTTTGATTAATTTCGACTAGTAAACCAACTTTATAGTACAGATATAACCTGATTGTCATAGAGGAACATTTGAAAAAGATCATTGCTATTGAGCTATGTTGTGCACATCCACGTCGTCAATAGCAGCTTCCAAGATTACAACGTCAAATGACTTAATTAAATTGGTTATATTAAACTTTTGATAATAAATTGTTTACATAAACTCTTTAGTCAAGTACTTGGATAATTAATTATTTAGTCAATTTGATTTTGCTTAATCCGATAATGACTTCATTATAAATAATATGAATGACATATTTTAATATTCTCATAATAACCAATTTGTCGGCAAGTTGAGCATCATTCAAGAGTCGGCATGATACGACGATTTTAATATCCTCTTAATAATATGAAGATTTGAGAACCAATTATTACATTCATTGATGATAAGTGTGTTTCTATACACTTATTTTACTGTCAAAATATGAAAAATTGTAGCGGAAATAAAGAGAAACAAGTGGAAAATGACCAAATTGAAGGAAATGAAAGTTCAAGGACCAAATTGCAAATATTCAAAAGATGACTCGGAAGGCAAAATGAAGATATGAAAATGACGAGGTCAAATTGAGCTAAAGAATAAAAGTATGGGAAGAAGAAGAAGTGGAGAAAGAAGTCACAAAACGAGGAATAAAGGTCGAGGACCAAAACGCAATAATTGTGAAAGTGTGATAAGCTATGCGGTCGCATAGCCTAATTCCCTATGCGGTCGCATGTGCCCCTTCAAAGAAATCCAGCACCCAGTTCAAGACTTCTATGCAACCGCAACACTTATTAGTATGAGGTCGCATAGTAGTAATTTGTGATTTGAATCTCAGTTTCCTAGTTTACGTCAAATTCTTATGGAAACCAACTTTTTTCATGTTATTTCAACCCTAAAATGTACCAGAACAAAGGGGGATGCCTCCATGTATATTTTTCTCTATTTTTTGCTCAAGTTTTTCATGGAGAACTAAAGCCCTGTTTGATTCACCAAAATTTCCAAGAAAGTAGGAAATTTTTTCCCATTTTCCACGTTTTGGAGCGTTTGATTGCCAAAATTTTCCCTTGAATTTGGTTTCTAGCCTCCATTCTCACGCGCCATCTTTCCAGCATTTCAAGGAATTGGTTTTCTTGCCTATTTGGTGGAAAAGTGTTTTTTTTTTTTTTTTTAATTGGAAAAAATTCTAGACACAATGGTAAAAAAAT